CGCTGGGAGTGTGCCCGTGCCCACGTGTGGTTGTGTGCACGGAGCCTGGTTTTGAGGAGCATCAGTGCTGAACGTGAAGCCGTGGCCTTGGACCAGAGCCTGGGACCTGGTCTCCAAGAAACTTTTGGACTTCTTTTTTGGTTTTTTGGGGGTTTTTTTTGCCAGAATCTGGGTCTAGGTTTGGAGAGACATACCGCAAATTGTCTGACCTGTGGGATGGAGCAATCCCTGAGACTGGGACCTGAAGCCACCGTTGGTTTTTGGATGCTTCAAGTCCAAGTGTGAGTTCAAGTTGTCTCCCGAGTTCGTGTCTCCAAGAGGAGACGTGGCTGGAGATGTTGGAATCTCTGTGCAGGTGGCCTTGCCTAACGTGACCCCGAGACATAGGAAGTGAACACTAGCCATAAACTGAATTTCCCAACATTTGGGAAGGGACTTTAATGTTACTCAAGTGCAGAATTTTGTATGTGAATTTCCTTGTTGACTCATTTTCTTATTAGTAATTTTTAAAACAAAAATGTCAAGGAACTCACTGAAAGCAAACCTCTTGTCCAGCTCAGAAAGCCATTCTGTTTCTTCAGACAGACTATGTGATAGATCAGATTTTCTAAAAATGTGTTTTGTTTCAAATGCTGCTTAATAGATCCAAACAAATTCTGCAGGGCCATTGCTATTTACAGATAAATAGGTATATTTTTACATTTTTATTGATTTTTAAGATTTTAAATTATGTGAATTTTTAGAACAAATTTGTATAATCTACCTGAGAAGCCAGAGCATCACCTCAGATACAAATGCTCCCCTTCCTAACAGTCACCCGAGAGAAAAGAAGAACACATTTACTCATCTTTTTCTCAAGAGGGAGCTACTGCAAACCTCATTTCCCTTCTATCCTCAGACCACTCTGATCACGGCAACATTATTGTTAAAACCAAAATGCAAGCATTAAAAGAGAAACTGAAGTTCCTAAGGAATTTGCCCAAGAGTTATCCCACATAAAGACCCTTAGCAGTGAGTATTTTATTGGGGAATATTAAAAAGCCCAGGAGCAGGCTAAGGATTGCTGTTTCTCCATCCACGCTCCTGTGACCCCTCGGGTGGGGGGAGCCCTGAGCCCCCATCCCTTTCTTCCCAGCTCGCCTGTGGTCCTCCAACCCACGCCCGCATCCTCTTGTGCCCACTCCCCATCATGGGCCAGCATCTTCTGTTTCCATCAGCTTCCTTTTTGTCAACCAGAAACAAGGAAATCAGATACAAAAGCTCCTTCACCTGCCAGTAACATTGAGGCTGTGATGTGGAGGGGGCGAGGGCAGCAGCCCCCTCCGAGCCCCGCGTGGGTCACTGCTGCTCAGCGGTGGAAAAGCAAAACTCTTGCTTTTAACACATAAACACCCTGACTTT